GTTTTCTTACAATCTGAGTGCATTAAAGGTCCCACATTGAGCCCCTTTTGTAAACAAACTTATAAAAGTCTCCTGAATGCAATGTTAAATTTTCAGTTGAAAATGCTGCAAAGCTGTTTCATTTCACCATGACTGTAAGACCCATGGTTTTAGTTCTGTTCTAAACGGGCTGTTTCCACTCTAAATATAGGTGAGTTGCTTCTTGCCTTCAGGAAGAGGACTCTCTCTGTGTCTGTGATTGATTGACCACACAGCAGCAGACATACATGTGAATGAATGTGTTAGATGGGAATTATTGTTGAATTCATAGCTCAGCCCTTGTTTTTGAGTTTGCCAGATGGTGTTATGGTTTAAAAATCAGTAGTTTAGCAGTGTAACAGCTTGGAAATGACTCTAAATAACTGCAGGTTAACATGTAGTCTTAATGGCATGGTTGGTTTCAGTCGCTATCGTATAGAAACGCTGACTGAATTTAGGTTACACTAAAGCACAAAAGGCAAGATGAAACACAGTAATCCACTGGTGCTTCTGGTTTCAAATCAACTTTAAGAATTCTATTATCTCTGAATGTTCCTCAGCATTACAATTTTCACATAGTTCTGACCCGTGGACATACCATCAAGGTTAGTGGTAACTTTAGCCACATTAGCTGCACAGCATGCAACACTGAGAATTTTCCAATTACTGTAGCAACATTACCTTAGAAAGTAAAGGTAATCCATTTAGACTTCAGTTCCTAAGACACAGAGAGTGCATGAAGACTCTTGTGTTCACTCTTGTAGCCAAACCATGTTTGATTTGTCTGACATTTTAGAGTTAGCAGAAGCAGCTCTAGACCTTAAACAAACCTGGTGGACTCAGAGGCAACTGCTCGTTTTGAATGGCTCACCTGAAAGCAGCAGGCAGCAAGACAGCATGATTACATATAGTTTTAGCTTGACAAATATGTTTTTTTTTGTTTTTTTTTAAAAGAAACTGAATGATTTTGACTGGATCTAAAGCTTTGACCCTGTCGAGTTAAGGTTCATTTTACATGTTCAAGTTTTTTGGACATAAAAACACAATAAAAATACATTTTCACCATGTGGGACCTTTGTATGAGAGATCTTTACAGCTGTGTGATGAATGTTCCCCTTTTCTCCAGCAGAGAGCAGGAGAGGGCTGCCGCCGGGGTCAGGCTGCTGATGCTGGGAGTCAAGCTCCGCTATCAGGCCCCTCAGCTGGACGACGTCCGAGCAACCTCGCCCAGCTAAATGAGGACGATCTCTGAACTCTGTGCGTCTCCTGGTTCAGGAGGACTGCAGCTCGTTCTCCAGCTGTGAGGACAAGACTGGTTTGTTTGTGTCAGACTGAAACCCTTATGAGGTTCAGTCATGAGTTTTGGAGGATAGTGAAGGAACCTGAAGGAATATATGAAGGAATTATGGGCTGTAAGTATAAAAATGACTTTGCTCCTTTTTAGAGAGCCATTTAAAGGGAGGTGACATTGCCTTGATCACCTTCAGTGTACATGAACAGCACCCAGTGGGATGTTACTGAGTTCTAAAACCCTCCGTGGACACTCACTGCTATGACAATTTCTGCTTTTTACCTTTTTTGAGAGTTTGTATTCCATACTATTCTCTCTTTCAAAGGGCAAGGGGAATTTGTTTGATGATTCCATTCCTAATTGGGGCAGTCACTGGAGTTACATGTGTGCCTGAATGTGTGTTTATGAAATGATGTGTGGATGTGTTTGTGTGCATGCGAGTGTGCAAGTCGTGGTGGTGGCTCTTCTTGTACCCTCTGGTAAATTTCCTTGATATCTTTTTTTTTTGATGCCCCCTTTTTGAAAGAGAAGTACAATTATACTTTTTTTCCGCCCTCATATCCCTGCTGACAACCAAGTTTGCTGTTTATGTTGACAAGAACGGGGAAAGGCAGAACACTTGATGTGGACATGCCACAAGAACTTTACTCACTCAAATTTCATCTGAAAGTGAAGAACTTTCTTTCTTGCCAGTGTCGAGAGCCCCTTGTGTGCTCTATTATTCTGTTTGACTGGCCCTCCTTTGATCTGGACAAGAAGGCATGAGGGAGCCCCCTGGAGGTTCTCTGTGGGTATGACGTCACTTCAGAATACTTTGGCTCTTTGGGCAACTCCAGAAGAGTTGCAAGGTAGATGCATCCGAAAGGGCCTGCTGTGCTGACCCAAAGTGCTGCATGCAACATCTCCCTTGGTGATTGACTGGTACATTACTACTTTACATAGATCTTTCTTTACAGGCCTAAGTTGCTTGTGAGTGCGTCCTTAAAAAAATGCATTGGTTTAAACTAATATGAATTGTTTTATTCGTCCACTGTTGTCATGTCAAGGCTGTGCACCATTTCTATAATCTCTGTTAGCTTTTGCCCTCATGGGCTAAATACTGTACAATGCATACCATAAAGGCAATCGTATGTTTTCCACTTGTAAGCTGAAAAGCGATCTGGGTATGCCAAGAAATGTTTCAGCTGGTTAAAATGAAAATGTTGTTGCAGAAACAAGAGTAATGCTGACAAATGTGCATGCTCCTTCTTCCTCAACAGTGCCAAAAGCAACAGCAGCTCGCCATTAAAAATGTTCCATGCTCTTTCAGCTTGCCACTGCTCCTACCAACACAATCATAAATATCCTGCGTTTCTATTTGGACTGTAAAGCCTAAGTGACAAAAAAGAAGAGAGTGGAGTGCATAAAGGGGGGCTATCCTGTCAGGTCTGTTCTTCTTTGTGGCCAGTAGAGGTCCCCACAAGGCTTCCACTTCCAGTTTAGTTGGATCATACAGCTGCACCAAAGATCAATAGGCCTCATATTTCCGTGCTCACGTCGAAGCTGCTTAGTAATCGGTCCAAAAAGCTACAATAAATTACTCAAAGTAAACTAAAAAAAGGTGGGACTTCAGGTGACTTGAACCATCTCACAGAATCTGTCTGCAGGTAATGTGAACTGACGAGTTTTCACAGTAATTACTGATCAGGCAGTTGTGCATGTTAACACAAAGGAATACCACTACAGAGAACCAAAAACGAGGACATAAAACCAGGAGAGGGTTGGTTAATGTCATGTTTGAGTAGAAACAGTTGTATCATATCAAATAAAAAGTGTCTTTATGAAACTGAGTAGAGTGTTTGTCTTTCTCAACAGTTAACTTCTTTATTGACTTAAACAACCCTGTCTTAATATTATTGCTATTTTTTTTTCAGTGGATTTTTATTCTGTAACTGCCTTGTCCACTATGTCAAGCCAATTTTATTGATAGCCACATATTTTTAAAAAAAGCCTTAAATGTCTTTACAAATCTATATAGCTTTCTTTAAGTTTAATGTGCTAATTATAATTAGTTGAATTAATATTGAATTTAAAGTGTTAATTTTGCTGTGGAGGCCCTCAGACTCCACTGTGGGACCTCTGACGAAGACAAAGGCAACGCATTTCGCTTGCTTTTGCATCCCATTTGGAGAAAGTTCAAACAGGATTAAAAACAAAGAGAAGAAACCCCTGGATGAGCAGACATCTGGTTGGCTGGCCTCTGAATAAAGCCCCATTCTAGGCAGTAAAGCGAGGACCATCGTAACACGGCTGTGATATATGGAGGCTGGGGACTGGAGGGGGGTAGAGGGATATTAACTTTCACAAGGGTGCAAAATCAAAGGGAGTTCCTGTCACCACTGAGGGGGTCTCAGCAACAGGGGTCCCATTCACAGGGAATTCCTCTCCACTGCCCTGTGTTGCATCTGTTGACTCAATCTTCTCCATTGAGAGAAAGAAAACACTCATTAAAAGCCACATGACTGTGAACTTGATTGCAGCAGGCGAGACAAACAGCCCCATCAATGGGATGAGTATTTACTTTGAGGTGTGAAAATCTTTGAACAGGCCACAATGTTAGGTCTTCTTTAGGAGCTTCCTCCCTCACACCAGCAGCACAATGAGCAGCATTTGTATTCCGAAGGCAATCAAATTATCATTTAAATAAAATGTTAGATCTTTAGGTGCTCGGGGGCATTCTCACAAATTCACACATTTATTGGATGAGCTGGTAAGAAGGTTAAAACCTTTTTTTTTTAACTCTCGCTGTCTATTTACTTCACAAACAGTTGCCAAGATGGAAGAGAAGAACATTATTAGAAACAGGGAAATAGTTTCAAGGACAATGTTTATTCAAATTTACATGCTGCCATAACCCCAATAAAATTGTTCATGATATTTATAATTAATTTACACAGAACTTACAAATTTCAAATGTTTGCTAATCTGAAGCAGCGGTGCGTCACATTGCTGCTTTAGAGCGGATAAATCTGTAGATCAAAGACTCTCGTGTTTACATTAAAAAAAAAAAAAAGATTCCTACCTTGAAGTAGACAAATTAGGATATGTCTCGAAATAAAAATCTATTCATCAACAGCAACACAGGCATTTATCCACTCTGAAAACATTGTTGAAGAGAGCAGGAATTAGAGTCTTTCTACAGCAACCTTAAGCTGTACTAAGGCATACATTTATTCTGAACATGATAATATGGACAACATATTAAGGTAAACCTTTTGGGATTTTTCTCATGTCTGGGACATCCTTCGCATGGATACAATATTTACATCACGAGCTTAAAAAAATTAGATTTTCACATCGGTTGAACTTTAAATAAATTTCGAATGGTAACGGGTGTAAAATCGGTTTTGTTCCAGGTGAAATCTGTCCGTGTGGTATGTTGGAAGGTACAGTGAATGCAGCAGAACTCTCACAATGTCACTGAAAAAGGCTTCAAGTTTTTCTTTAAAGCTGCGTTGCCTCAAACAGCACACAATTATTTTACTCAAAATGGTCACTCAATATACTTTGATGGTACTACTTGAAGTCAAAAGTAGAGGAAATATTCGGGGAGCTTGATGCTTACCCTCTAGTGCAAACCTATGGCAGTGAGTGTGAGTCACACAGTCTGTTCATTGCTGATTATTATTTCTGGATGAAGGACCACACTGATTTACTCTCTCTTGATATTGGTGAGCAGAGGGTCCGTGCTCTGTGAAGGCTGCCCTGACCGGCTCTTCCTGGTCTGGTGGGTCTTGACATGTTTGGAGAGGTGGTCACTCCTCATGAATCTCTTGCCACACTGCTGGCACCCAAACCGCTTCTCCCCAGTGTGTGTGCGGAGGTGCCGCTGTAGCTCGTCTGAACGGGTGAAGCTTTTACCACAGAAGAGCCAGTTGCAGATGAAGGGCCTCTCCCCGGCATGCCAGCGTAGATGTGCCTTCAGGTGAGAAGTCTTCTTGTACACTTTGCCACACTCCGGGATGTGGCAGATGTGCAGTCTCTTCTTTCCGAACTCCAAACCCCCACCGTTCGCCTGGCAGTTGGGGCATTTGCAGCGTCGGCAGCGGCGTGTGGAGCTCAGCAGACCCTTGGAGGTGCCCTGGAGAAGGGCTGCTATCTGCGGCTGGTGACCCAGAACTAGCTGTCTGCCCAGGGAGAAGGGATGGTTGGAAGGGGCGGCATTGGTTTGGGGTAGGCTCCACCACTGCTGCCCTTCCTCCACATGGCCTCCAGACAGGTGATGCCTGGCCGAGGAATTCTGGAGAAAGGTGGGGAAGTTCTGTCCCACACTGTTGTGCTGCGGATAATACGGGCCGCTGGCCTGTGGCTGTGAGGACAGCACTTTAACGGGGGAGAGTTCAAACGAGTACGAAGATGGCGGTTCGGCCGGAGGGGTGAGAGGAAGCTCGTGGTGGTGATGATGGGGGTGATGGTGATGATGACCCAGGCCAGACTGCATGTGTCCAGGGAACTGCACCTTGGGCACCGTGAAGGTCATCTGGTGCGTGCTGAGGGCCGTGCTGGGCGCCATGTCATTGCTCCAGAGCTGAAACATTCCAGATGTGGAGCTGACGGTGCCCTCGTACGGGAACTGGGAACCTTCTGAGCCCATAGATCCTCCCACCTGCCAGGCCTGGCTACAGGTGGTGGCCAGGAAGGAGAGGGCGTTCGGGGCTCCTTCTGGAGAGGAGCTGGGCGTCCGGTCCTGTGTGGTGACACAAACACATACACCATTTTACATGTCCCACTGTGAGGACAATAAAAAGTTTTAAAGCTTCTTAAATCAAAATAAACATTTTATGCTATCATGAAAATTCAGAAACTGGCCTTTAAATGTGATCCAGAGTTTAAATACATTCTTAATTTTGAAACATTCACTTCCATTTTCTCCCATACTTTCAGTCATGTCTGTTACTGTAATTTCTGTATATTATTGTTAAATAATTGTTTAGAAATTATTTTACCACTAAAACAAGATGCATCACTCTCATACAGATCAGACTCCTAAAACACATTCATTCACAAGTTGTGGAGACGCGCGCTTTCACCGCCACAAAAGCAGGAAATAAATCATCCCGCTTTGCATCAAAAACACTGATTACCTGTAAAAAGGTGTGCAAAAAGTTGTCAGTCCTTTGTATCGTCAGCGCAGCCATCTGTCCTCGCGCTCCTTCTTCACGCACCTGCAACGCAAACTGCGCCAAGAGGCGACGACGCACAAAGTCTCAACTACAGCTGGAAGCGCAGAAAGGGGGGAAAAAAGATGCTCACATTCGGGTCTTGGGTGACTCCGACGCCTCGGCAGTGTAGCCTGGGAAATCCCGCGTCATTCAAATGTCTCCTCAGTCCACTAGGTCAAATATCGCTCAATGCGCTCGCAGTCCAGATGGTTTTTGGTGCCGAAGCAGCCGCAGGCAGCCGTCTGAAGTTGGTGGCAGAGAGGCGCGCAGTAAATCCTTGCGATCATCTCAAAGGCGCCTGAGCTGCATCTTCTCTCTTTATAGAGAGAAAAGATCCTCTCAACGGGGTCTCCAGCATGATGCAGGCGAGCCAGTCAATAGAGAGGAGACGGGAGGGAGGAAGGAGGAGGGGGGGCTCGTTAGGTGAAGGGGTGGGCTACTCATAATTTCACTCAATTTCAACCAAATGCTGACCCCAAGAACTGACTCCTCCTCCCGATTGTTCTGCAGAAAAAAAAACAGAAGACTTAAGGCATCATATTTAAAAAAAAAAAAAAAGTAATACATCTACTTTTCCAAATATCATACACCATCTGTTTGAACTTCCCTGGACATCTTGTGTTATTCCCCACTTCTACACTTATAAATAACTGTTTTCCTAAAAAAAAATAAAAAATTCAAAGAGCTAACATTATTATGTGTTTCAGCAACTTTCAATATCTGCATTTAGGGCCAGAACAAAATGCTTAGTCTGTTAAAAGATCTAAGATTACTAGAGCCAGCTAAGTCAAAAATATGTTTCACTCTGGGACTATTTGCATACTGTTTCAACTCCATTGTGGGAATTCAAGTAAAGATAGAAAATAAATAGATTTTTTATTTCTTTTTTGGGATTTTTGGCAAAGATCAGTGACACAGTGGTAAATAAAAAAAAAGGTGATTTAAAGTCAACAAATAGATAGATAACAAATAAACAGCCACTATAACCATCGTTGTAAACACTGATGGGCAGCATAAAAGTGTGATCACTTCATGAAACCCTGGAGTTTACACATGGAAACGCAGAGAAAATGAAAGAATGAACAAATGCATGGGAAGATTGGAAGATAGTTTCTTTATTTTTTAGTTTTCTCCACACGACTCAAACTTTATTTCGTCTTAATGCTGCAGCATCCAGCAGCCCTGCTTGGCATCCGAGAACCTCACACACCCTGAGGAGAGTCTCAGGATTTTTCCCTCACAAAGCTAATTGATAAAACTCAATCAAAGCCTCAGAGTTCTCACCAGTAGGTGACATGTCAAATAGGCCGCCCTGTGTGACATTCTCACATTTCAGGGTTCAAGTAGAGGCCACTTCAGATGTGCTCCATTAAATGCAGATTGAGGCTTAATCTCATTCTGTAAGTCTGTTCACCATTACAATGTTAAGAGTTTAAATCCAGGCTGGGAACCCGTTTCTCATGTAAATGCCTGGTTCCTCACTTATCTGCTCCTCACTGTTTCACAAGACTGTGATCCTTAAATAAACACACTGCGAGGAGAATCCAGTTACATTAGAAATAACTTAATGAAAGACAAAGACACAGTTTATGGATGAATTGGGACAGAAATGTAAAGTTTATTGTATTCCACTTGGCAATTAAACAAGATTTAAAAAAATAAAAATAAAAGGAAGACACTGATGATGCTCCCTTAACTGTACCATTTGGTTAAGGCTTTTTTTTTTTTTTTTTTAAAGAAAAGCTTTTGGTGCAAAAGCTGAAAAGACACAATGCAGTTTACCGTGTGTCCTTGACAGAGAAATATGTCATCTTGACACGCAACATTTCTCCAGACTCACAATGTTGTACAGACTTTAGCATACTGTGCATATTTTAGCAGAATCTGTGTGTCTATATTTAGTTTTTTCTCTCAGAAGAAAGATAATGAATATAGTGTTTTGTCTACAATATTTACTGAAGGTTAAACCAGATTTAGTAAAAAAAAAAAAAAAAGATTGAAAGATGCATTTAATGAATTCTAATTGCCCAACTGTTTCCTAATGCCTCTAACTTGTAACGCAAATTCAACAAAATCATTACAGGATTCCTGCAAGCAGTGTAAAGATCTTCAAATCAATACTGCCGCTAGATTAAAACCTCACAGATTTTCTTACAAATTCCCTGTGCAAGTAATAAATAAGCACGTGTAGTCACAGCAGCATTGACAAAAAAACTCTAATTCCGAATTAAAGTGAACATTTTAGGATGAAAGAAGGCAGTAGTAAAAGAAAAGAGCGAGGAGGACATGAAAATAGGAGTGTATCTTGGAGGCAGAGGTATACTGTGTCTCTGGTTTATTACAGAGCAGAAGTTGTTAATTACCCTGATTCTTATTTCCTGTCCCCTCTCTCCCCCCCCACGCCACCCCACCCCCACTGTACTGCCTCCCAGATGAGTGTCTTTGAAGTGCAAAGTACTCTCTCCTCACTTTGAACTGTGAAAACAATGCTCATGTGGTGGTGCTTACCTTCCCCATGTTACCTCATTTAAATAGACCTGGATACGGCTTCCACAGTATTCAAGGGAAAACTAATTTCCAGAGAAAGAGGTCCCTGCGTTCATTAAACAGCTGGTGAGATTGCTGGTAATCAGGCCCGCTCCGTCATTGGATTGCGTGCCGCTCTGACTGGGTGGCTACCAGCAACTTCAAAAACTGACACAGACTTAAATTCCCCGACAAGATGATGCAGATGTTCTCATGCACCTCTTTCTAAGTCAAAAAAAGATAAACTATGATAGTTTCATGTTCTGAAGCCTCCCGGTCTTGGAGAGGTTCTCCCACCTACTGTAGGACACAAATGGTGTTGTTTTCGCTGCAGACATAATCTTAAAGCCGGAGCGTAGAATATGCAAGTGGGTACTCAAGCTGTTTTTTTTTTTTTTTTATCATGCCTGGGGGGCAGTTTAAAAGCCTCAGATCACTAAATTGTCCCAGCTGTCTTGACCATCTGCACTCGAAAAGGGCAGCCACAAGAGGAGAGCAGCCTTTGTGCTGGTGGCCATGTCAAAAAGCCAGTTTTACAGCACTGTGCTGACTCAATGGCCCTCATGTGACAAATGTGCTCTAATGGATGAGACAGACAGCATGTAAAAGCCTGCTGCTAACTGGTAGTGCTTCACTCTTTAACCATTCAGCACGCCGGGACTCCACAAGATGGGCCATAATTACCATGACAGCCAGTTTCTTTGGGACGAGGAGCAACACCAGCAGCTGGACTTTACAGTGCAACAATTTGATACTTCATTCAGGAGTCTGTTCTTTGCCGTTTCCCACTGAGTTAGAAATGTGTGTTTGCGACTGCTCCAGAAAGAGGCACAGAGGGAGATATTAAACCAAGATTGAAGCTTATACTCAAAGGCAGTGTTTTTAAGGCTCACCTCAGTAGATAAAGAGACACATGCTTTCCTCGGAGAAATTTAATTTCATCACGATACCACGTTTCAGTTCTCGACTTCAGTGATGGCACAGATACATGCGCTGCTCCATCTGCAAACATTGCATAGCCTGAAAAACTTAAAAGCCCACTTACAATATTTGAGATCTTTCCCTCTAACCTAGTCAAGAGCTGGAACTGGTGTTCTTCAAAACTCTCCTCTCATCAAAACTTCAAAGTTATCTCTGCTCTTAATATCTTTCTGCATATCAAAATGCTTGTTTGTATTCAGAAAAACTTGTTTTCTTAGGTTTCTAATAACAGTTTTGGAGAAATAGCTCACCTCATTAAATTATTTTGTCATTTAGCACATGTTTTGGTGTAGAAGAGTGTTTCTATTCCCTCTAAACCCATGCAAATGAACTGCAAATCCTTTATTTTCGTCTATAAGCACAGCAGCTTCCACGGCATAAAAGGATTCTGTTTAAGGTGTTATCATTCACACGTGTCTTAATTTAGCTTTTTAGTTCCCCAATTAAATAAAGTTCTAAATTCCAACAAATTCTAATGAAAACAAAAGGAGAATTACAATATTTTTGCATCGCTATTTGAGTACCTCGATATCACAGCGTGATTCAGGAGTGATTCCCACCCGTGTAGCACAGTTTACACTGCGAGGTGTGAGAGGAGCAGAAAAACTATAATAATTCCCTCATCTCATGTCCATTAGCATGTACGAAAACCCCAAAATCTCCAGTCTTGGGCAGACGCAGGCAGACAGCACGCATCTCCACTTGTCAAAGAAAACTTTTATCAATACCAAGAGCACTTGAAGTTTGTTTGCATTTTGTTTTCCAGCACTCTTAACAACTTCAGAAGTCAGATCACAGGAGTATCTGATCAAAGCGCTTCGTGGTTAGTTCTGGAAACACAGGAGTGCTACGCCACGCTTTGATACTCCACATCAATATTTCAATTCAACAATCACTTGACATGCACCCATACTCCCAGAGACGAAAGACGAAAGGGGAGAGAGAGAGAGAGAGGGAGAGATCCAGGGAAGATGGAGGGGGTTTGTGAAGTACATATACAGTAAAAGAAATGGATTGAAGAAATCACTACCTTGTTCACCTTTGCAGCGATGTTGTATAAATTGAACTGAGATGCCCTTTACATGACTAATGAGCTAAAATCTTAAACATCGGAGTCAGAAAGTTTTAATCATTTTGACTGAGCAAACAACAAAATATTCTGTTTGTCTGGAAACTTTCTGTCTTAAAACCAAACTTCAAGATAAAATACACAATCACTACCTTTTTTTTTAAATTTCATATTTTCTCAGGATTCACCACAAGCCTCACTTACAGGTATCTGTACTGAAACTAAAACACTTGTCACAGACTGAAAATCTGAGCAGAGGAGGTGTTTCATGTTTTATCAAAGGAAAGTAGTACAGGAACTCTGCAGTAATAAAGATGAATGCAGTCCATCTGCCAAATGTCACTTTCATGGTGCTTCATGATCATTTCATCATCTCGACAGGATATGACACGCTTTGAAGGTTTTGGGCCTATAAAATATGGCGTTTGATCTGGAAAAGAGACTTGTGGCAAAGTTGCATGACAAGACATGTAGTCAATCAAGAGATAACAAGTGACACTGCTACTAGGGGTTGAGAGCTTTTCTTTTTTTTTCTTTAACTGCACTTTGCAATAGGGAA